ATCTTCTGTGTCTGTGTTAATTGGTTTCCCTTTTCTTTGTTGAAGAGGGTCTGTGCAATCCTTCTGCCTAGTCCGCCATCTTGCCGGAACTCACAAACCTTATTTTTTCTCCATAGTTTTCAATGGCTGCTTTTTTGGAAGTAGATCTTGGCAGTCTCTCTTCTAAGCACCTGTTGGTGGACCCCAATCTGCATACTTTTTGTTAGCAGCAAGCACTTTAACTGTTTGCACCACCCAGGAACTCCCTGGATGGGGAGTGCTGCCATTTACTGAGGAGGAAGATAGGGGAGGAAGGAGAGTTCTGCTTGGTCTTGTTAAATCTCAGGTGCTTTCAGATATTTAAATGGGCATTTAGGTACATGAATCTGGAGATGAAAATATAAATTTGGGAACCACATATAGATCTACCTCATTCTTTTTAAAAGCTTCACAGCCTAGTGCCTCAAGGATGTACAATCAACCATATAATAGCTCCATAGCTCTATTCGTGGGTAAACAAGGTGGTTCCCAGTTTTGTTAATTTAATTTATTTATTAAATTATTATTACCTGTAAAACAAACATCAGACAACTAAAATTTTTGTACATTATCTTAGGGCCACTTGCATACTCTGTAACGTCAGGTTCTGTTCTAAAGTACAATAGCTAAGTTAAAGGATTTGTGCATTTTAACATTATTTCACATTTTACAACTTCGTAGTGTCCTAGAACAATCAGGTTGAAATTAAAAGTAAAGAGCTTTTCAGGGGGCAGGAGTGTATGGATGGAGGAATGGACACAGGGAAGAGGTAACTGTCGGAAATAAGTGGGAGGGGAGCTGTTGCATTGCTGTAAATTGTGGTCAATGTCATGAGACAAAGTGTATGTAAACTACTGTATGGAAAGTGAATTTGCTCTCTGAATTTTCAACCAAATCACACACACACACACACACACACACACACACAAGTAAAGAGCTTTTGTTGAGAGGCAAGGCAATTTGGAAGTTGGTAATCACAGGGTCTAGAGGATTCTGAACCAAGTGATGTAAGGAAGAGATACTTCAGAGAGTTTTTACAAGAAAATACAAGGAACTTCAAAGTTCAGTGATAGGTTGACAATTAGGTAATGGTTATAAAATTGGGTGAGGGTACAAGTACCTCTGATTGGTAAGAGATTATATACAGTTCTAAAGACTTTTTCTCCCCAAAGTTACAAAAATAATTATTAAATTGGGTACATTTGACCTGGAGACAATCTTGAGACCCTCCTTGGGTGCCTGGAGGTAGGCCATGCATAATTCTAAAGTGTGAGTAAGCATCTGTTCTTAGAATTGTTTTGAACCTGGCTTCCTAAGCAGCAAACAAAGCCCTTAAGCAAGCAGAATTACACTGTTCTTAAAACTGTTTACCAAGTAATTTTCTTAGGGTACAGTGGAGACTTACAGTAATGAAAGGCTACATTTCTGATGCAGAGGTTACTTTTTAATTTTTTTTTTTTTTGCTATTACAAACAAATTTATTCTCTCAGTTTAGGAAGCTCACTCACTCACTGCCATCAAGTTGATTCTGACTCATAGCGACCCCCATTGGGTTTCCAAGGTGGTAAATCTTTACAGAAGTAGATTGCCCCATCTTCCTTCTGCAAAGTGGCTGGTAGGTGGTTTGAACTGCCAGCCTCCTGGTTAGCAGTCAAATGCTTCAGGCACTGCATCCCCAGAGCTCCTTGTTTAGGAGGCTAGAAGACTGACAAGGGTTCTAGGAGGAAGGCTTTCTCTCCATGTGTCTTTTGGTCTTAGGAGGATCCCAGTGAGGGGACCCTGGGTTCAGAGGAGGAGCTGTGCTCTCAGCTCTTCTTTGTTGGTAGTAGTAGGTCTCCATTGCAGAGGTTGCTTTTGAATCAGAATGGAGTTTTAGTCTCAGACCTTAGCATTGCCACCATCTCCTGTCTGGGGTCCCAATCTAAGTCTTGCTTAGTAGATATGGGTAAGACTTCTTATAAAGGCTTGTATTTCAACATTACACTTACAACAACACTTACAGCAACACTGACGCTTCTTTACATTCTGGCTAATGCTGGGTATATATATATATATATTTTAATATATATATATTCTAATTTTTGCCAATCGTGGAAAAATGGTATCTCATCATTTCAGTATGTATTTCTTCTGAGTGAGGTTCAGCTTCATTATAATTCCCTACCACTGTTTGCCTTTCTTCTTTATTTTCTTCTGACTCTGACTTTAAGCTAAGGGGATGTTTTATCTGAGGTGCCAGGCTCAGGGGTCTGAGCATAGCCTGGATAAGATGGAGAGCTATTTTATCTGTTAGCAAGGACCTTGGCCCTTTTCATTTGGTGACTTTCACTTGGGCTGGCCTGTGGAAGTCAAGGAGCTAGGGGAGGAGACGGCACAGGTGCGGGGTGGGGAGAGACTCTGGGGAGAAATGAGGGCGTAGGGCATTGGGTCTAGATTGTAATAGCACAGGACAGACTCAGTACCTGGGGAATCCCCGAGTCCCTTGCAGGGGAATCTTCCGAGCCTCCCTCCATCCTAGTTTCAAAGCTACCAAGGGAGTTTTGACCAGTGTTGGCAGCAGCGACTCGAAGCCCGAGCTTCCACCTAGAGGCCGTGAGGGCAAAGAACAGCAGGGTGGGGTGAAGGGCCTCCCTTCCTGCCCAGAGTCCCCAAGGGAGCGGGAAGCACAAACCGAAACCAAAACCTGCTAACTCGGCTGCGTTCGCTCCCTTACGTTCGAGTTCCTGACCGCCGGGGTGGGCGCGTCTCTCCTCCACATGGCAAGTTCCTTTTGCTCTGGGTTTTGCAGTAGCAGGGCCGTCCGCATGCCGTCCCACGGTCCCCTAGAAGGGCGCGGAGCCAGTGAGGAGCTGGCGTGGGAGCGGGGTGATTAGCAACGGCACTCAGAAAGTCTCCGGGCGGGCAGAGACTCCCCCGCCCCAACAAGCAAGCTTCGGTTTACTTTTGGTTACCTGCTGTTACAATTCTGGGCTCTGGTGCAATTCAGTTCAGGCTTTGCTAGAGAGGCGCAACTCTAAGAGGATAGAGCGCAAACTACCACCTCCCGCATCCAATACCCATTTGTTTAGTGGACAGAGCTGTTACCGTTAAAGATTCTGGTTCGGTAGTCTTCTCTCAGCCCTTAGGGGAACTAGAGGAAAGAGAATTGGAGAGAAATGGGGGCGACAGCTTCTACTTGAAAAGGGCCAGTAAGAAGGGATTAGAGCCAAGGATGCAAATTAGAAAGGAATTTTGGATGTCTTCTGTCTGCCTAAGTGTGAATTTTTCTCATTTGTGGCCTTGGTTCTTTCTCTACAGACACAAAGGGCCCTCTGTGTTTTCTGCATCTGTGCTGGCTGGGGAGGACAGTTAGGAAATTCAATATTTAGTCTTCCGTGTTCTTTCCATTAGGCTCTTTAAATCAGTGGCAGGGCCTTTAATCACTGGTATGAAATGCTGTTGTTGTTAGGTGTGGTGGAATGGATTTGGACTCATAGCGACCCATGTACAACAGAAGGAAACATTGATGGGCCCCCAGCCATCCTTACCATCCTTCCTATGTTTTGAGTCCATGGTTGCAGTCAGGGTCTCAATGCATCTGATGGAAGGTCTTCTCCCTTTTCACTGACCCTTTACTTTACCAAGCATGATGTCCTTTTCCAGAGACTGGCCTGTCCGGATAACATGCCCAAAGTAAGTGATGCGAAGTTCTCACTAACCTCGTTTCTAAGGAGCATTCTGGCTGTACTTCCTCCAAGACAGATTGGTTCATTCTTCTGTCAGTCCACGGTATATTTAATATTCTCTGCCAACACTATATAATTCAAAGGCATCAATTCTTTGGTCTTCCTTATTCATTGTCCAGCTTTCACATGCATTTGAGGTGATTGAAAATACTGTGGCTTGGATTAAGTGCACCTTAGTCCTAAAGTGGCGTCTTTGCTTTATAACACTTTAAAGAGGTCTTTTGCAGCAGGTTTGTCCAATGCAATACGTTTACAGCCTTTGACTTCTTGACTGCTGTTTCTATACGTATTGATTCTGGATCCAAATAAAATGAAATCCTTGAAAACCTGGAACTTTTCTTCCTTTACCACGATGTTGCCCATTGGTCTAATTATGAGGACTTTCATTTTCTTTATGTTGAGGTATAATCCATACCTAAGGCAGTAGCCTTTGATTTTGATTACTAAGTACTTCAGATCTTCTTTGCTTTCAAAAAGCAAGGTTGTGCCATCTGCGTATTGCAGATTATTAATCAGTCTTCCTCCAATTTGATGCCATATTCTTCTTTATATAGTCCATTTCTTAAATTATTTGCTCAGCATGCAGATTGAATAAGTGTGGTGAAAGGTTACAATCCTGAGGCACTCCTTTCCTGATTTAAACCATGTGGCAGTAAGTATCCCCTTGTTCTATTTGAACAACTGCCTCTTGGTCTATGTATAGGTTTCTCATGATTATAAACACTATTATATGTTCTGGAATTGCCATTATTTGCCATGTTCTCTATAATTTGTTACGATCCACATAGTAAAATGCCTTTGCATAGTCAGTATAACACAGGTAAACATCTTTCTGGTATTCTCTGCTTTCAGCTTAGATCCATCGGACATAGGCAATGATATCCCTTGTTTTATGTCCTCTACTGAATCAGATTTGAATTTCTGGTAGTTCCCTGTCATTCGATGCATGTTAGGGCCCAGAAAATGCAAAAGCAATTGTGAAATGCAAGTGCATTTTTTAGCAAGTAACAGTAAAGGCAGTAAAGACTTCGTTAATGAAAATAAACTGATTTTGGGAAAAGAAATAAAAACAAAGGCAGTGAATAGATCTTCTAATTATTTCTTCCTATTCCTGGCAGTAAGCTTTGCTCAAAAAATACATTAAAATGATTTCTTTATCTATACCAAAACCAAATCAAATGCACTGCCATTGAGTTGGATCCAACTCATAGCAAGCCCTCCTTGGGTTTCTGAGGCAGTGTCACTATGGAAGTAGATTGCCCCATCTTCCTTGCGAGGAGTCTTGCGTGTTTGAACTGCCGGCCTTCGGGTTAGCAATCAAATGCGTTAGGCACTACACCACCAGAGCTCCTTCTTTATATACATATATATTTTGCTTTCTGATATGATGACTAAACTTATCTTTTATACTTCTTGGCTAAAATGCTGCTTTTGTTTCAAAATCTTACATTGCTATGTTATAACTCTTTAAAGTACTGCCTTTCTTCAAGACATTTTTCTTCATTAGGTGAATAATAACCATCATTGCTGATAATTGATTTCAATACAATTATGTATGTTTGCCATGCTGTTTCAAACTGACAAAAGAAAGTTAGGGAAGAGTATTAACAGGTCATTGAAATAATTATTTCGATGTTTCTTAAAATTAGCTAATTCTTACAAAACTAGACCATATCTCTAATCTTGAAAATATTGGCTCAATATTTTGAAATTCTCTTAATTTCGAAGATAAATTGCGTTTAGACACTGGAATAAAGAAACATGGGATCATTACCCATAAGGACATCGAGATGGAGTAAGATTTTTGGAATTTAATTTGATTAAAGTTTTACTTTGATGTTGATTAAGATAAAAAAACAAGTTGAATTCACTTATGTCACTAATTTACCCACTGTGGTAGTTATGTTCGTGTGTCAACTTGGCTGGGCCGGGTTGAGTGGCTGGGCAGCTGGTGGTAGTTA